GGTGCTTGAGGTCGGCATTCCCAACACTCAGGCTTCATCTAAGATCACATGGTCTAGAAGGAGTGACAAATGGGGTTTATTACCTGCTCCAACTCAAGGATCTGAGTGCGCAGAGCTATGCCCTGGAAGGTGACCATGTCCTAAAGGGGCTTTACTTTGTTGCAAGTGTTTTGAAACTGCATACACTTTTTTTGGTTTCTTTTTTATTTTGAAGTGAAATACACTCATAGAGAAAGATATAAAAGGAGATGTACAGCCCAACTTACTGTGAAGCCAACAGCCTTGAGGTGATCACCTGTTTAAACTGAATCGTGCTCTCCCCAAATTCCCGTGTTGAAGTTCTAACTCCCAGCTCCCCAGAATGGGACTGTTTTGGGAGACAGGGCCTTCAGAGAGATGATTCAGTTAAAATGAGGCCACTAGGTTGGGTCCTAATCCAACCTGACCAGTGTCCTTGTGAAAGAGGAGATGAGGACACAGAGAGAAGCCAGAGGAGCAGGTGCTCAGAGTGGCCACCATGTGGAGAGGCAGCAGGGGGTGGCCGTCGCCAAGGAGAGAGGCCCTGAGGAGGCCAACCCTGCCGACACCTTCATCTTGGACGTCCAGCCCCCGGAACTGTGAGGAAATAATTTTCTCTTGTTTAAGCCACCCAGGGTGTGGCCTTCTGTGATGGCGGCCCTAGAAAACTAACACACCCGCCAAGCCACGAGCAGCATTTCCGGAAGCAGCTTGTGTGCATTTTCTAACCTCTGCTGCTTTCCGGCACCCAGTAAACCACCCGTGTGGCTTCTGTGACAGCGTGGAAGTCTTTGGAACTTCTCCCACCTGAGCATGCGTCTCTAGCCGCTATGGTTTTGTCTGCCTCTATTAAACTCTAAATTTGTCACTGAGTTCTGCTCTTGTGGTTGTGAGATTCATGCACAGTGTCCCAGCTGCTCCTTCTCACTGCTAAGTATTTCATTGAAGTAACACCCGCAGCTGGATACACAATTCCACACAATTTATTCGTTCTGGATGGACATTCAAGTAATTTCCAGGTTTTGACTTGCTTTTTAAGGTTGGAATTTTTTTTTTTTAATACTAATCTGTCCTGTGTGTTTGAAAAGAGTGTTGTCCCGTGGCTGCTGGGTGGAGGGGTCTGTCTGCACAGGGGCACTGAATCCAAACCCCTAACTCTAGAAGCCTCGTAATTCTTCCCCTGTTCTTAGTTACTCAGACAGGTAAGTTGCAATCACACATTGAGGATTTTTTTGGTTTTGTTTTTCAGCTCTGTTGGTTTGTGCTTAACATATTTGGAGGCCACACTATGTGTTTAAATCAAGAATTAAGAATTAGCTCCTCTTGGTGGCTGAGATTCCATCGTGTATTATTCTGAAATATCCTGTACCTCTAGTAGTGCTTCTGATTAGTGATTTTCTACTGTAGATTTTTAAAATCATATTACTTTCAACTTTCATAATCTTTAAGGAACCAGCTGTTAGAGATTATATGCTTTGTCTATAATTGGTTTATCTTGATAGATTGACCCTTTTATCAAGGTCTCTGAATAACTTTTATCTTAAAGTCTATTTTGGTGGTATGAGTACGACCTCTCCACCTCTCTTCTGGTTGCTGTTTGCATGGAACATCTTTCCCCATCATTATCCTTTCATCCTGTTTGTGTCTTTGAATCTAAATTGTATCTCTTGTAGGCAGCATATAGTTAAACCTTTTTTTCATCCATTCTGCTAAATGGAAATCTGTCTTCATTACTACCTTCATTTATAGAAAATAGATATTTTCCAATGTACCATTTGAATTTTTTTCCCTGTGTTTTTTGTGAATTTACCTTCATTTTTTTGTTTTGCTTTTTGTTTTGCTTTTGGGGGGTAGTAATTTAGGTTTGTTTATTTATGTATTTATTTACTTATTTTTTTTATGGAGGTACTGGGGATTGAACCCAGGGCCTCATGATTGCTAAGCATGAGCTTTACCACTGAGCTACACCCTCCCTCCCACCTTCATCTTTGAAGTGTGTTTTTATTGAATAGAGACTTTAAGGTAGGAAATATTTGATGAGGAATGGAGACCAGCACTATTTCCCCCAAGTGAGATGCTGCTCAAATTAAGATTAACTGAGACGATTCAGTGCCTCCAACAAAGAGTAGGAAATGGATCTAAGGAAAGGACTTGATTCAGGGCTCTGGTACCGTGAGAAACAACTCCAGATGCTTGGCTGCTTCAGATCTTTCTTAGGTGGCATCTAAATTCAAATCAGGCCGTCTCACCGAGGCACCCACGTTGAGTATGCATTACGAAAGGTTGCTCTGTGAACTGATAGCTGAGCTCTCTTAGAATAACTGTGTATCTTGCTAAATGCCTTTACATCTTCATAAAATGTTTCTGTCTTGGTCCAGAGATGGACAGACAGAGTGAGAGGCTGAGGAGGCCAGAGTGATCTCAAGTAGTTCCCCTGCAGTGAGTGGCAGCACAAAGTGATGGAGGTGTCAGACGCCACCCAGCCTCTGGCCTGACCTTCCAAACCATCAGAGGATTCCCAGGAACGGAAACCAGCCGAGACCCGATGTGCGCTCTTACGCAGTCGGTTCCAGCACAGGAGGTGCTCAGGGACGCTGCTGAATCGTACAGGCCAGTCAGCGTTCAGACGTTAATCTGGGTCCCAGCTTCTGACCTCGGTGTTTCACAAGAAACGAGGCAAACTTCCCGAAGCTTTTAGTGTAAAAACACTTCTCTAACTCTGAATTTACTTCTATGAATAAGGCAGTACCTTGAACACAACCTGAAGTTTGACCCTTGCTCCTCGGACGTGAATCAGCTATGGAGGTTTTATCATTGGTTGCAAATCTTGAATCTGGATCTGTGTCTCATTCAGGTATGAAAATGAAAGTCATCAGCACGGAAGCCAGTCGACCGAATTTCCAGGACAAACAGGGGAACAGGTGACGGGGGCTGTTATCCCACCTCGGGCTCTGACTCTCTTGCATGACGATCTGAAATGGTTTGCATGCTCTTTGACACCATGGCTTCTCACAAGGGAGGATGACTTACCAGTTATAGTGGGAGAGTGTAGCTAAGGTATTCAAACACGTTGAGCTTAGACAGAAAATAATTGGAAACGACCCTTCCCCTTTTATTCAAAGGGAGGCTACTAAGTCGGTGTGACACTTGGACCCAAAAGGCTCGTGATCTGATTTCGCAAACCTCTGGTTAAAACCACCCGACACAGAACTCAGACTCCAGAACCGCGTGATCTGGTGGCTCATTTGTCTCCCGGTCATCCGTCTTTACGCACCTGAAACAGTGTCATCAGAGTTGTGGGTACCAGGGATGTGTCCCATTTTGATGGACAGCTGACCCCTGACGCTGGAGGAGAGTTACTGCCTTGTGTCACGTGGCAGAATCTCATTTCTTGTGTCTGTCAGTGGCGAAAACATTGCGAATGGTGCAGCTTGTGAAAATGCAGTTCTGGGCCCATTCTTGGAAATCCAGTAGGACTTAGAAGGTTGCAGGAAAATCCCGAGAATCCCTCTTTTTCTTACTTTTTATGAAGCTACTCAAGCTAGTCTCACCAGACCAGGTTGGAATTCCCTGGCTTAAGAGCCCTACCACAGGTACTGCGGGTGTCAGCAGCAGGCACTGCAGGCAAAGACCTGGGCTTCTGCTAAGTGCTCTTCCTTCCCCAGAGGAGTAACTTTAATGCTGAGCCTGCCCTTCAGTTCGGGGGGAGCTAGCCTGAGGTACCCCACCCGTCAACCGCCCTTAGAACTCCAGCCAGAAAGCTGGACTAAGGGCTGGGTCGGTGGTCCCAGTGGCTGTGAGTTACCTGTTATCTGCATCGTGATAAAGTGAGTATTAAACCTGAACACTGAGAACATGTTATGGCAGTTTGGTGGTGATTTTTATAACTATTGGATATAGTAATGCAGAAAAGTGGGCTTCTATTTTGCGCATATTTTTAAACCTTAATTCCTTTTGATTGTTCAGTCATATGATTCTTGGTCAACGTCAGGCTGGAAATTAGAAATAGATCCCTCACGTGGGAAGTTAGAGAAGTGATGTATTCAGTATGAAGAAATCAGAAAGTGATTAAAGAACGAAGTTCAATTATTTGCCTTTGGGTATATTTTGTGATATTTCCCCCCTAATAATCTGGAGGATATTATTTTTCCTCCTTTGAAACGATATTGAACTTTTATATCTTAACGTATGTGTTCTTCACCCCCTAAAAAGCTGCCTGTGAAAAATCACGAAGGCGGCCAAGCAGGAGGGCCGCGTCCCAGCCCCGCCGTGCGCTGAGGGTCCGGTGCCTCTGGGTGCACTGGTTTTTAACGTCTGGGCTTTCAGAGGTACCCTAAGTGTCTGCCAGCCGAAGGGCACACGTGCTAAGCGGAGCCGCAGTTCACCCACGGGTCCTGCAGCCAGTTTCTGACAAAACTGAGTCCAAAGTCAGTAGCCCTGAGCCTGCGGTCGGGTCCCAGACCCTGAGTGTGGGTGACTTTGGTTTTTCTTTCATAGACGTTCAAGGAAGTTGTAAAAAGTGGCTGAGGTTCAATTTAAGCGATTTTAATCTTCAAGTTTGTTCTGTTTCTTACTCTGTCTTTCAAAACATGAGCTGAGAGACACGTAGCTTGTGAGCACCAGTGCCCGAGTGGCTTGGGCTCGTCTGTCAAGGTCTCCAGTAGTCCTGTAAGAACAGATGGGGGGGAAGGGCATCAGGAGGAAGAATATTGTAGTAAACATGACTGTCGGTATTTGGAAAGGCATCTAAATCGCTTCTCTCATTTTGCCAATTCACAGGAACCTTCACGTCGGGTCTCAAGATCTAGCTTTTCTTCCAACCCTGGTCAGTAGTTTTTTGGTTTTGTTCTGGGATCCTGTAAGATCAGTTCTCTTTGTAGCTTTGTGGACAAACACAGGCAGACACCTGAGTTAACTTTCCCCAAGTGACGGACGGGCACCACGCTTGTTGGGGGGCCACGTGCAGATAAATGGGCTTGCTCTGCCGTCCTCTTAGCTCTGAGCAGGCTGATCGCACTGGATGTCTCGTGTTGGTTATAGAGGCTAATGCGATTTGTTTGCTTGCATCATCGTGCTAGTATCAGAATACTGCTGTTACACATTTTGAGCATTAAGAAGTTTGTAGGCTAAGGGAAGAGCTAGGTTTGAAGACAATTTGAAACAGTCTTCAAATTTGCATACTGCACCCGTTAATCATTGAAAAAAATCTTGAGCTTCTGTTTCTTATTTCATAACTCGCTGTCAAGGTGGGAAAGTTCAAGATTCCAGTGACCGTTCAAAACTCACTGAAGAAAATGTTTCAGGAAAGCCCCTGGTACACGAGGAAAATACCGTAGCAGCGGGTACCGTCTCAGATGGCTGCGAAGAAGGTGTTGCCAGGGAAACTCCTGATGCTGTTCATCCCTCTGGACTTCCGAGAGATAATTGCAGAAATGCAACAGATTCCACTGCTGGGGCTTTCCAAGAAGATTCCAGCGTAACATCAGGGAGCTGTAATGGAGGAGGGAAGGCTTTTCCCACCATACAGGGTCTTAAGAACAGTGACAAAAATGAATCTCCCTTCAGGAGGCTTTATGAGTCAATGAAGTTAGAGTTAGACGTGAAATCAGAAAAAGTAAATATTCTACAGAATCGCAGAAAGTCAGGATCACGAATTCGCTGCACAACAGAAAAAGAAAGTGCTGGTGGTTTAGAGGGCGAGTCACCGATCTCACTGGTCTCGCTTAAACCCAGACCGAAGTTGAGCCGAAGTCCCCAGATTAAGGCAGAACAAGGAAGTAGCCAGACTGGGGAACAGAAGAGGGCTGAGGAGACAGCGCAGGCTCCCAAGGACACCGGGAGTCTTGGCATCCTCCGCACCGAGACGGCGGTGACGAAAACCACGACCCCGCTACGGTATTCACAGCAGAACTCCTCGCGGAGACGCCAGAGCGAAGACCTGGGGGCTGTCAGCAGACGTGAGTCTGTGACTCTAGAGCAGAGTGAAGGCTTCGGGGCAGAGCATGAGATGTTTACCCCTCAGAAGTTCTTGCCTAGGAATCAAACACCCATTAAAGTCGAAAACGCTGGTAGTTTTGGAAATACACCAGAAAAATTCTCCAAAAAGAGGAAGAGTGTTCCTACAAGTGTGGACAATCTCCCGACAGAAACAGAAATGGTGCAGCAGACTGTCCCAGCTCCACTGGTCCTCCAAGCTGAAGGGAAGATTCAAAACGGCTTTCTCAACAAGACAGCTGGACAGACGTGCCCTGGGGCCCCTGGTCCTGACGCAGCTGATGCTGGCAGCTTCGGTGATTCCATCAGTAAGTTTATTTAACTGGAAATGTATGTCCCCCCAGGAGTTCACGTCTACCCTGTACGTCGACGTGAATTAGTGTGACCTTCTCTGGCTAATGATTCGCACTGTGAGGCACCAAGGGGACAGTGACTAGAGACACACTCGTCTACCCAGAGATTCACGTGAGGACCCAGATCACCAGCCAGACCGAGGGACAGAGGACGTGCTGGTTGTTAGGGGAGGACTTAGCAGGGGGCTCAGGTGATAGGGTGGCCCAGAAGCAGATTTGATTCTTCTGTCTACCTCCAGAGAAGGGGGGAGGGCAATAATTGCTCTTCACAGGAGTTCAGTTCTGAACTCTGAGCTCTTGTGTCCTGGGAGTCTGACCTGACCCTCTCAATTAAGTCGCTGTTAATCTTCCAGTACGGGGTGGCTCATAACATGTGGACCGTCCCCCTGGGTTTATGTGCCCAGCACTGTTTTCTGTGTCTTACAGACACCCACTTCCCTCACTCCGTGCAGGCAGCTGGAGTGTCCGCGGGACAGGTGTTTTCTCACCCTCATTTTGCAACCTAAGCTCACCCAGGGGGTGCCCGGGAGGTGACCTGTGGTGCAGCTGCGGTAGCCCCTCGGGGGCCGCCGGGTGCTCTGACGCAGTGCGCCTGCCATCAGCAGGGCCTGTGCAGCTCTGAGCTGAGACCTGAGCACACCAGTCACAGTGTCCGCGTCCCCACGAGTCTCAAAGTGGGCGCATCACTTCGACGAGGGCTTATGGTGACGGGTGGTTCATAAAGACGGTGGTGGGGCTTGGGACACAGGACTTCCCATCTGGCAGCACCTCTGGGAGAAGCCCCAGGCTCGTAGGCCCTGCTGCGGGCGGGTCTGGGTGAGTCCCGGGTGTGAATCCTTCAGAATCCTTTCTCGGGCGCTGCCGCACCGCCCCCTGCGCCGAGGTGGGAGCCCCTGCGTCGGGCCCTCCGTTACTCAGCTCTGTCCCCGCAGGACTTCTCAGCGTTTGAGGGGAAGGCCTTGAACTGTCGGGTCGGGCTTTGGTGGTTTGTCCTCGGGTCTTTCGTGAGTTCTGGAAGCACTGTTAGCTTCCGCATCCTCACAAGAGAGGGAAGGTGTGTGGAATGTCAGTGTCAGTGACTTTATAGCTGGGTGGTCTTTCATTGGAAACAAGTCATTTACTGTCCGGTTTTTTATCACCTTTTCTGCTCCTGTGTCCATCCCTCTAGATAAGGTGGAGGGGGTGTCCCTGAAGAGGAGGCGGGTCTCCTTTGGGGGTCGTCTGAGGCCTGAGTTATTTGATGAAAACTTACCCCCGAACACACCTCTCAAGAGAGGAGAGACACCAAAGCAAAGAAGGTCTCTGGTGGCGCACACTCCAGCCGTCCTGAAGAAAATCATCAAGGTGCGCTTCCCTGCCGGCCGCCCGCAGGTCGGGTGGCTCACGTCTGTGGTCCTTGGTCTTTCTAAAACGCCTCACGCTAGAAGATGGCAAGGAAGACCTTTTCTCTCTATTAAAAAAGTGAAAGTATAAAAATCTACATGAGAGCTCATTCTCGTGGGTGTTGAGACAGGAACACCTGGGTTCCTAGCCGTCACCGAGTGTGGCCGAGCACAGGTGGGTTCTTGGGACTCCTCTGCAGAGGCCTCCTGTCCCCCACGCTCCAGGGCTAGAGGACCACGGGAGCCAACTGAGATGAATCCGGATGCAAACTATTGTCTATAAGATAGATCACCCACAAGGTCCTACTGTAGAGCACTGGGAACTTGAAATAACCTCTAATGGAAAAGAATATGAAAGGGAACATATATGTGTATGTATAACTGAGTCACTTTGCTGTACACTTGAAACTAACAATATTGTGAGTTAACTAGTCTTCAGTTAAAAAAGGAATCTGGAGACATCATGGCAGAACCACAAGGGTTTCTTCTGCTTTTAGGATTATAAAGGGAGAAAGAAAATTTGGATGGCAACACACCTACGATTTTCACCACTAGCTCTTTAGAACTTTCAATCATCTACCCTAGGCGGTGTCGTCCCCCTGACCTCAGATTGTAGGAGTGAAGTGTGGGCTCCCCTCACTGGAGGAGCTGAGCCATCTTTTTTTTTCTTGAAGTATAGTTGTTTCACAATGTCGTGTTAGTTTCTGGTTTACAGCACAGTGATTCAGTCATACATATATATTCTTTTTTCAGATTCCTTTTGTTACAGGCTGTTACAAGCTATTGACTATAGTTCCCTGTGCTGTACAGTAGGACCTTATTGTTCATCTATTCTGTGTATAGTAGTTTGTATCTGCTGATCCCAAACTCCTAATTTATCCCGCACTCCACCCTTCCCCTTTGGTAACCATAGTTTGTTGGGCAGTCTTTAATTTCTTTTCATACCAATAGGAGTGTAAGGTATGTTTTGTTTCCCTCCCTTTTCTACGGGCTCCCAGGAGTGAACAGCCCTCCTTACATGCAGCCCAAAGGTAGGATGGCATTTCCTTGGATTTAGATCTGAGCCTCACTCATCAGGAATTTTCTTCCAGCTTTCTGCCTGGAATACCACAATTAAGACTTGTTTGCTGCTTTCTTTTCCCCTTTTCCTTTTCTGTCCTGAGGGACGGACCCCATCTCTCCCATACGTTTGACAGACACTGGTTGAAATGTTCAGTGCTTTAGATTTAAACAACTCAAGTCCTTAATTAGGCAGAATTTTCACATTCACTACAGAGATGTTATATTTGTATTAAGGTTTCTTAGTGAACATTTAAATCTTGTCAGGAGCAGCCTCACCCATCAGGGAAAGGAAATTCTTCAGAAACCTGTCCGGAAGTGACCACCCCAGACACGTGTGCAAGAGCTCCCGCCCCGGCTACTACCAGCACGCCTCCAGCTGCAGCTGATCGGTGCCGTAGGTCACCCAAGGCGTCTTCTGTCTCCAGTGGCAGCAGATCTCACCAGGCAGACACTCCTAAGAGAGGAGGCAGAAGGAGCGGCAACCTGCCTTCAAAGAGAGCTTCCCTGGATCGCAGCCAGCACGGCATCTTACAGATGATTTATTCCAAGAGAAGGAGTGGGGCATCCGAGGCCAATTTAATTGGTTAGTGTCGCATCCACAAACAGGTTTTCAGGTTGATTTTCTCGTTAGCACTTGTCTTGAAAAGGCTACATTTTTCCCCGTGACAGTGGCGAAGTCGTGGGCAGACGTAGTCAAACTTGGTGCCAAGCAAACACAGACCAAAGCTGTTAAGCGTGGACCCCAAAGACCGCCGAGCAAAAGGCAAAGAAGAGCCAATACTCCGAAGGTGCGTGTGCCAACGAGCGTTGTTCTTTTCCACATCGTGTTAAGGGTGACGTTAAGTGTGCGTTCAGGCTTTGACATTTTATGGACCTCCTGATTTTTTTTCCAGAAGCCGACTGGCATCGTTGACCATCAGTTTAGTACCGGCCACGCAAACTCTCCTTGTACAATAATCATAGGGAAAGCGCACATCGAGAGAGTGAACGGGCCGGCTCGGCCCTACACGATGCTGAACAGCTTTGTGTTCAACAAGCCGGCGGACTTCAGCGAAGATCTTTCAGGTACAGGCCCAGCCGTGGCTCCCATAAACCACAGCCCTCTCATCCCCGGCATGTGTCCACGTGGGGAGGTGGGAGCACGTCTGCTT